TGCTGGACTCCTTCCAATTTTTCCACATCCTTCTTGTAGTGTGGGGCCCAAAATTGGACACAGAACTCCAGATGAGGCCTCACCAATGTCCAATAGAGGGGAATGATCACATCCCTCGATCTGCTGTAATGCCCCTATTTATACAGCCCAAAATGCCGTTAGCCTTCTTTGCAACAAGGGCACACTGTCAACTCATATCCAGCTTCTTGTCCACTGTAACCCCTACGTCCTTTTCTGCAGAACTGATTCCTAGCCATTCGGTCCCTAGCCTGTAGCAGTGCATGGGATTCTTCCATCCTAAATGCAGGACTCTGCACTTGTCCTCGTTGAACCCCATCAGGTTTCTTTTGGCCCAATCCTCTAATTTGTCTAGGTCCTTCTGTATCCTAACCCTACCCTCCAGCGTATCTACCACTCCTCCCAGTTTAGTGTCATCTGCAAACTTGCTGAGAGTGCAGTCCACGCCATCCTCCAAATCATTAATGAAGATATTGAACAAAACTGGCCCCAGGACCGACCTTTGGGGCACTCCGCTTGATACCGGCTGCTAACTAGACATGGAGCCATTGATCACTACCTGTTGAGCCCGATGATCTAGCCAACTTTCTATCCACCTTATAGTCCATTCATCCAGCCCATACTTCTTTAAGTTGCTGGCAAGTATACTGTGGGAGACCATATCAAAAGCTTTGCTAAAGTCAAGGAACAACATATCCACTGCTTTCCCCTCGTCCACAGACCCACTTATCGCATCATAGAAGGCAATTAGGTTAGTCAGGCATGACTTGCCCTTGGTGAATCCATGCTGACTGTTCCTGATCACTTTCCTCTCCTCTAAGTGTTTCAGAATTGATTCCTTGAGGGCCTGCTCCATGATTTTTCCAGGGACTGAGGTGAGGCTGACTGGCCTGTAGTTCCCCGGATCCTCCTCCTTCCCTTTTTTAAAGCTGGGCACTACATTGGCCTTTTTCCAGTCATCCGGGACCTCCCCTGATCACCATGAGTTTTCAAAGATAATGGCCAATGGCTCTGCAATCACATCTGCCAACTCTTTTAGCACCCTCAGATGCAGCGCGTCTGGCCCCATGGATTTGTGCTCATCCAGCTTTTCTAAATAATCCTGAACCACTTCTTTCTCCACAGAGGGCTGGTTACCTTCTCCCTATGCTGTGCTGCCCAGTGCAGTAGTCTGGGAGCTGACCTTGTTCGTGAAGATAGAGGTAAAAAAAGCATTGAGGTACATTAGCTTTTTCCACATCCTCTGTCACTAGGTTGCCTCCCTCATTCAGTAAGGGGCCCACACTTTCCTTGACTTTCTTCTTGTTGCTAACATACCTGAAGAAACCCTTCTTGTTATTCTTAACATCTCTTGCTAGCTGCAACTCCAAGTGTAATGCACCAACACTCTTGAAAAATGTTTCTGTCATAGTCTTATAGTGCATTTCAACACATTTTCATAAATGTAATGGCTAGAACCTTAAGGGTCATGCAGAGAGTTATCAGTGGCCAAACCAACATCATATCCTGGGAATGTTGAGATTCAGGGTGAAATCCTGGCCATGTTGTAGTCAATGGCAAAACTCTCATTGACTTCTATGGAGTCAGTGTCCTCTGCTCTAACCAAGAGAATACTAAATCCAATAAAATAGAACATGTATAAAAATAATGCATATGTAAAATACTTTTGTACTGCAAAGCAGGGAATTGTACCATTTAAAAATATTCTGAATAGATAAAACCGGATTAAAAATAAATTTCTGCATCAATTCTGAGTGTTCTCAATGAATTTTACTTTGAAAAAGTGCACAATAGCACAAGAAGCTTTATAAGGCTTCAAAAAGTTGTGCTATAAAGTGATGTGGAATTAAAAGTTCCCATTAAAATTAGACTAATCAAATTTACAAGATATTTGAAAAATAGGGATGTATACTCAAGTACTGTTAGTTAAGCTTTAATATTCAAGACAGAGTTTACAATATGCACATTATAGCAACACCAGCTCATTCAACAATGGCAAAGGGTCTGAGTATTTCTTTCATTAAAACTTTCCTGCAAGGATTTACAACTGCTGTACACATTTTGTCAGGGTTGAAGTTTGGCAGACAAAAATGGATTTATTTTTTATAACATTTGGCTTAGATTAGAGTTCAGCTGTTCAAGTTATTGTAAAACAAAAAACAAAACAAAAAAAACAACCCACACACTAGACAGAAGGATAGCTTTTAAAATATGAAGTTTTCCAAAGAGCTGGTCCATAATGTCTTTGAGTAGTGTCTTTAGGTATTGACATTTAAGTTTTCTATGAATGTAGTGCTTGTGAAATCCTCCAAACAAAATGAAATAATAACTGCATAAGGTGCTTACCATCCCAGTCTTTTTACTGGAAGTTAACTTGGAAACCTTGAGGACAACTGTAATGTCATTGTTAGCTATTTCACTGCTGATCTCTCTAGCAGAAACCTTTATTTTCATGCACTGTTAGATAAAGTGGCAGATCTTGGTGGGGTTGAAGGAACAGTGGGTTGGTTTAGTTGTTATACAGAGCTCCTGGGATATGCATCAAAGGACTGATTCTCTCAGGGCTGTTCTACACTACAGAGTTAGGTTGGCATAACCAGGGCCGGCTCCAGCTTTTTTGCAGCCCCAAGCGGCGAAGCGAAAATAAAAAAGATAAAGCTGATCGGCGGCACTTCGGTGGCAGCACAGCTGCGCCGCTTCGGTCTTCGGCGGCAATTTGGCAGCGGGTCCTTCGCTCCAAGAAACTGAGGGACCCGCCGCCGAAGACCCGGAGGTGCCACCCCTTTCCATTGGCCACCCCAAGCACTTGCTTCCTTCGCTGGTGCCTGGAGCCGGCCCTGGGCATAACTACCTTACTCAGGGCTGTGAAAAATGTTCATGCCTTGTGCTAGGTAATTAAGTCAACCTAAGCCCCAGTGCAGACACTACTAGGTTGACAGAAGTATTCTGTCAACTTAGCTACCACCTGTCAGAGAAATGAATTTATTACAGTGATGGGAAAACCCCTTCTTCACCGTATTAAGTATCTACACTCCAACACTGCAGCTGTGCCACAGTAGCATTTCTAGTGTAGACTTAGGGCTTGTCTATACTTATGCGCTGGTTCGGCGGCAGGCAATCGAACTTCTGGGTTCAATTTATTGCGTCTTGTCTGGAATAATCCTGCTCGGCGAGAGGAGTACGCGGAGTCGACGGGGGAACCTGCCTGCCGCGTCTGGACCGCGGTAAGTTCAAACTAAGGTACGTCGACTTCAGCTACGTTATTCACGTAGCTGAAGTTGCGTACCTTAGTTCGAATTGGGGGTTAGTGTAGACTAGGCCATAGTCTCAGTCTCTAGATGTTAAGAGAATCATTTATATAACCATGGAAAGTGATGCTAAAATGCTACCAAATCGGAATGGTAGCTTTTTACACCCACTTTGCACAACTGTAAATGACTATATAATGGGCAGAACAATGCAAAATCAATCCCAGGTACATCTTCACTAGGAAAAGAAAGGTGTGTTGTTAACTCATTTTGGCAAATGCATGAATAACCGACACACGGTAAAATCCTAGTGAAGATGAAGCACTTTACAGCTTTTACATGAGTTAGTAGATCAAATGGAGGAGGATGGAATCTAAGGTTTACTTCAACCTGTTAACCCATGTGAAAACCACGAACTGCCTTGTCTGCACTAGGATTTTACTTAGTGTCAGTTACCACATATTACCTAACACAAGTTAAACACATACCTTTTTCCCTAATGAAGACAAGGCTTAAGATTTAAAAAAAAAAAGTCAATCCATTCCTTCCTCTGCCCACACAAGATATTGTCTATACTATATTTAACTCACCTTAACTGATTGCCAATTACCTTGTTATTTAACACATCTGCATATGTTAGTATAGACACGCCACAAATGTTTGTTCCAAGACATAAATGTTTGTGGTTGTGGTTTATCCTAGGACTATTTTTTGAAACCTTGATTGTAATTAGATTACTTATAAAGAGAGTAATTTGTCATTTATCTATTTACAGAGAACACTAAATACAAAAATGAAATATACTCACACTCCACCAATGACACGTATTGATCCAATTCCCTGGAAATCCTCATCACTTCTAAAGAGTGCTGGGACAGCATCAGTGTTTCCAGAAAGCTCTTTGGCCCATCCTCCAAAATCTTTTTTCTCATATATTACTATCTGGAGAATGTGGTTTGAAACAATGTATTTAATACTTTAACTTTTAGTAATCTTAAATCTGACACATATAGTGCAGCATTGTCTAGGAATGCAATTTTTTTCTCAGCAGCCCCACCATGGTGGAAATTCTGTGCTGTGTCTCCTGAGTCCTCCTGATTGCAGGTTGCTCCAGGGTCTGGACAAGCCCTGGTATGATTTTGACAGCTGTAGCAGGCAGTCTAAGGGCTTCTCTACACAGGAAAATTGACCAGTATAGTTATACCAATATAATTATACCACTATAACTACCTGTGTGGACACCTTTACTTGAACAAGAGTGGCCACAGATAACTAAAACAGTACAGTTATGCTGATAACATTTTCCATGTGAGAAGCCCTAGTTAAAGACAGCTTCCCCAGGCCACCTAGAATCTCTGCAGAGCTTTGTGCTCTAGCCCTGCTGCCAGCCCCAATATGCCCTTCCCAGGCTGCCTATACTGAGACTTGCAAGTGTGTTTTCAGAGAGCAATCTTATGACTATGTTCCTCAAATCCTGTGCTGCGGGAATTGTCTCAAAGCTGGATCTGGGGCTCTTAGAGCTCCTTTATGCTGCTCCAGCCCTTTTCATTCAGTGTAAAGAAGCAAGCAGGAGTGAGAATCTCACCCCATATATTTAAAATCCATGAAATACGCTAGATTCATAGAGTTTCATTTGAGCTGAGTGATGAGACACCATAAGCCTGATCCAGCAGAAAATATCCATGGTCTTCCCAGCCAAGGAATCCGTGGCTGATGGATCTGCACTAGACAGACATGAATAGAGGAACAGGACAGCCTCCATTGGACGTACAGTTAAAAAAACAAAACAAAAAACTATCAGAATTTGTTGGGATTTGAAGAGTTGCCTGGGTGCAGGAAAATTCTATGGGTTCCTTACCTCTGGCATTGCACGGTTCCTCATTCTGGATTCACCTGTTCTCCCTTCACCAGCGTCACATGCACTGTGTGCTAGAGTAACTCCCTTCTATGGGTATGGCTCTGGCATGCAATTGGCCAGGCTACAGCTTTTTTTTTAAAAAAATAAGTTAACTGGAGCCATATATGTTTCTGTGGGGGAGGGGCAGACTAAAAGCAAAGAAAAATGTTTCTGGCCTCCCTTCCCACCCTCCAATTGGATTCCAATCACACACACCCCAATGTGCTCCAGAAGATGGGCCCTCCCAATCATGATTTGACTCTTGCAGTGGGGGTGGGGTGGGAAGGGAAGGGAAGGGAGTGTACTTCCTTTCTCTTATTTTTTGAACGTGGTGAAGTAGACATTTGACCTACAGGGGTCCTTTGTTCACTGATGCCTGTGGATGTGTCAACTAGGAGAAACTCACTTCAGACTGTAGTTCCTTTAAAATTCTTCTTCATGCAACTGACATTCAGTTATCTTGGAAAAAAATCCTGCCACTGCTTTTATGTCTCACAAAGCACATGTAACTCCTGGGCTGTGTAGCATCACAGAATTTGTTCTTAGGAAGTGGGCAGATGCAGAATGCCTAATCTAATATTCCACAGACAATAGAGAAGAGGTATTTCCCACACTAAGAAAAGGAAGTAGTCTTAAATCAAGGTCTCTCTGTGACAGAATCTTTTATTGGCAGCATGCTCGGTACTTACCTTAACATTCATAGGCATTTGTACCTTTAGTCCACCCTAAGGTATAAAATACATAAATAAATAATTACATAAAATCTTAAATTCTATTTCCATATGTGTTTATTTTATAACCCTATTGGAGTATGCAGTTCTTGCAGCTATACTAGATGATTCCAGTCTGTGTTGAATCTGATATTTAAATACACTGATAATTCACAAAACCAAGGAACATCTATAAAAATGATCTACAAACACAATGTTTTTACGAGCCTCTGAATAAAAAAACCAAAACAACACTTTATACATGTTTATCTTTACTTGCACTATGGATCTAAGTATTTACTACTTATTTGTCATTCACTTATACCACTGATCAGATTAGAAAAAAATTAAAATAACCTTTAAAATTGTTCCACATATATTACAAGTTTTCTTAAAGCAGTAGGGATCATATACCAAAAAGTTATTTATATCAAAACTTATTTCACCAGAACGCAGGCTGATGGGTAAATTCCCAGGAATGAGAACAATGTAAGCCATCTATGAAGGGAGGCACAACAGCGCATATGAATAACAATGTTCCAGTGCTGTAAACAGTAGTCAAGGATTGTTGTAATCCTTCAACATATTTGCAGAATAGGGGAGAGATTTTCAAAGGCACAAATGGAAGGCAGGTGCACAACTCACACTGACTTTCAGTGGGAGCTGGGCACGTAACTGCCCCTTGTAGTTTTGAAAAATCTCCCTTTGGAACCTTTATGTACACATTAAAGCTACATGCCATTGTATCTGTATCCATCCCTTTCCATGTTTATATCCACAAGCTGGCCATCAAAGGAGTATTAGGTTGCCTGTGTATCAAGATTGCTATGCAGTGCATAGTCACAGGAAGATTACCAGGCAGTTTGAGTAGTTATGTCTTCTTCTGACCTGGCACCTGCAGCAGACTCTAGCTGTACCAGTATGCAAAGGTTTTCTGAAGAAGCTTTTATAACCAGTTGTTGTTGGTTCCAGCAAAAACTGAACAACCTTAAAGGCACAACTTTTGGGTCTTATTTAAAGAGGCAGTTAATCCACATCCTCTTGACACAAGTTGTTCTTTTACTAAAGATGTCCTACTGCATTGAGGAACCCGGTGTTCCTCTCTGACTTGAATATTCCCAAAGCTCTGGAAGTTTGCATTGAAAAGAAAGTAAGAAGAATATTATACCTCTATGGAAATTGGCTGTCACAATCTGCACTGTCAATGTGTTGCAACAATACAGTTCACCACCACAACATCCAAACTGCAGATGGACCAAAAACCCAGAACTGGATCCAATTTTTGTATCTATAATAGACCATACCTACAGTCTACATCCAAAAACTCCTAAACATGGGGAATATGAAATCCCAATTTTAACTTTCCCAATTCTTGGACTGTTCTGATTTGACCCACTTGAGAGAGATATAAGCTGCAAACATGCACCTATCTCTTCTCCCAGTGCCAACTAATACAGCCTTTCCAGACTTATTGAGAGCTCTAAATGTGCAACTGTGGGAGCGTAGCAACTTTTCAGATGAATGGCAAATGCATTGTAATACACCACTGCATGACATCTATGTTAGACATGCAAAAAATCTCTAAAAAATTGTAAAGAGAAAATTCAACTCAAAGTTATCTTTAGACCAAATCATTAAATGGGGTGCATCGTTCAGAGAATCGCAACATCCTCACCATTTTTAGAGGACGCAGAGATTTCACATCTGCAGCAGAAATTTCAGATGGTGAGTTGTCTTCTTCCAAAACTAGCATATCTCCTTTGTAATTAGGGTCTGAATAGGCAAGCCATCTATAGCAATGAGGAGAAAAAATGACTTGTTTAAAACAATTAAATATGTTAAGAGTGTACATTCTTTTCTTGATTATATCCATCAGGGCTAGACAATATGCACCAGATACATAAAGTATCTTAAATACAAAATACATTTAAACATTAGGATTTTGAATGTGTTGCTACAATCTTAGAAAATTAAATTTAAGATTCCTTCAATGTCTAACCCAGAAGAAATAAGACAAGAAAACATTGGTCACTTATTATAAAAGGCCATCTTGTTACACTGTGAATAAGCAAAACCTAAAGATTACTACTGATGACTACAAATGTCTGGAGACCAACACCAGCATCAAAATTTATCATGAACTCATGATTCAAAATAAGATAGAAATCTTTGTATTGACTTCACAGTATTCAAGCTTCAGACTTATTAGAATATGTCCATTCACTACATTTATTTGAAAACTAGGGGCTCTTATTTTGACATTAAGGTTCTTGAAGCATGGCTCCCTCCTTCAGACTGTCATTTCAAAAGGAAGTATGTGTGTAAGGGTGAGGTGGGGAAAGACTAGGTGGGTTTTAGCGGGTGGGATATGAGACTAGTGGACAGTGATGAAGAATGGAGGTGGGGGCTTATATGCACGTGGAGTATCAAGTACTTAAAACTTGCTATCTAGAAAATTGTAAGCAATTAAAAATTACTGTAGTTGAACACTTTTCTCCTTTCCTTTTCTCATAGCTTTAAAACTCATTTTCTAATTTTTTTCCAAACTTCACAAAAGTATTCTGCCTGGGGATCAGAAGTTGCATGTGAACCTCAGGAAAGCTAGATTCATAATGGGAAGCTAGCTTCAACCCCAATCATGGAGTGACTCCTGTCACTCCATAATGATTCTGGAAAAGAGGAAAACATCTCACTCTAGAACGAAAGGACCGGGAAGTTCTGTGCACCTACCTGACAAACATATTTCCTCTGCTAAACACACAAAGTACTGGACTGGTGAGGGAGTCTGGATTTGGCTCATTTTGCATAGCCCTTCTGACTAGCCACACAGAAAGTAAGGGCACAGTTGCCGCTTCAGGAGTGCTTAATTGAGGCAATATTTATTTTCTGGAATTCAATCACACTGTTATGCTTTTAACAGTGTGGTTGGGTAAAAGGACACTACTGGTCTCCAGTGAACAAGAAGTTGACTTTATCTGAGCTTCTTCCTCTACTTATACAGGTGCTCAAGGAAAGGTCTACAAGACTGCTTGATAGGAAAACAGAGGGAGAATGCCTTTGAGAGAGTCAGGCTGCACACCAAGGAATCATAGAACTGGACTGAAACAAACTAGGGAGTTTATGTTAACATATTTTTATAAATATAATGCCCTCAGAAAAATCCTTTTTGATTGCAAGTGTTTTTTCCTGCTATGTCATTCCGCCAGCTTACAAACTACTAGTAAAGAATTCCAATACTCACACTCCTGACTTGACAATTATGTAAAAGGTGCTTTTAACATCCAGTTCTTCTAAATTGGCAACTTCACTCTGAATGCAGACAGGAAACCCCTCTGTTCCAGCTTGCGGGCAAAACTCTATTTCTGGAATGCTGCAATCCTGCAGAAACAAATCAAACTGTAAAGGTTAATTACATTTGGAAAGTTTGCCAGTACTGCTAGAAATACAGGTCCTTCCTTTTAAAGCTATGTTTATTTCAATTATTTTCTTAACACAATAACTTTGGGTTCTACAGAACAGTACAACTTTTTAAAAATTAAGGCTGGAATTTTCAGCGTCCTAAAGGAGTTAGGCCTCCACCTTCCACTGACTTTCCACGGGAGTTTAGCACCTAACTCTTGTGGGCTCCTTTGAAAATCTCAGCCTAAATATGCTTTTATTAAATCATATTTACCAACAGAAGAAGCTATTTATATAGTGTTTCTGACTTCTTGGATTTTTAACAACTTTATGATGAAAACATTGAAGTCAACTGGTTGTGATATTACACTATTTTTTTTTTTACTACATTTGGATTCAGTGGTGCTTTCTAATTTTCTATATTAAGTATTCATTAAAGAATAGCATACACATATACATGGCTCCTTTTCAGTATCATCTTAAATTAGGTAATTATGACCGTGTGTAGAGTTACATTAAATATGTCTAAAATAAAATACAACTTCAACTGCACAGTTTAGAATCGGGCATGCTTGTTGATGAGCAGTTTAATGCTTAGTGTATAATAATTTAGATCAATAAAAGAAAAAAGATCCCAGATTTAATATTATATACAAACCCAGATCCCAATTCAGGAAAGAATTTAAGCACATGATTATGTCCATCTTTATTTCAGGAAGGGCACATATTTAACTTCGAGCATGAGTAACTCTTGGATTTCACTGGAATTAAAGGGTGTACTTATAAGGATGCTTCCCTGGAACGAGGCTTCAATTATAACTACTTCAGAAATTTATTTAGGACTCCCTGTAATTAAGTTTTGCAATGCATATGACTTACGCCCTCAAATTGTGTAAATTCAATTTTATGTTACTTTAAATAAAAGGGCAGCATTCCAGAGAAAGGCAAAGAAAGTGAAAGCCAAAACAAATGTTTCCAGTGCCAGGTAGCTACCTAATACTTTTTCTTTATACAGTACATGTTAAGATGGGGGCACTAGCAGAGCCATTGCAAGGAAGTTTCGCACCCGAGGCGAAACTTCCACCTAGCGCCACCCCCCCACCCAGCTAACCCCGCCCCAGCTAATCTCACCCCCGCAGCAGCTACCCCCCCCTCTGCAGCTATCCCTGCCCAGGGAGCCTGCCCCAGTTCACCTCTGCTCCACCTCCTCCGCTGAGCACGCCAGCACCACTTGGCGCCGCAAGCCTGGGAGGGGAGGAGAATTAGAGCGGTCGCTGTGTGCTCAGCGGAGGAGGCAGAGTGGAGGTGATCTGGGGCGGGGTGCAGTTCCCCTGTGCGCCCCCACCCCACCGTTACTGCGGGCGGCCATCCCCTCACCCCCCCCGCCCCAGCTCACCTCCACTCCACCTCCTCACCTGAGCAGGCTTTTAGGCACCCTCAACCACTAGGCGCCCTAGACGGCCCCCTAGTTCACCTAATGGTTGCACCGGCCCTGGGCACTAGAATTTTATCACAGGAGCTCCTATCCATTAGCCTATCAGTTCTGGATAAGAGCGTCCCAAGTCTCACAGTTCTTCCGAAGAAATGTGCAGAGACTGTCTTTAACTATGGTAATTTCAACACACATGTAAAATGTAGCACCAGTGGTGTTTTTATTTTTTTAAAAACAGCTTTTGACACACTACAGCTCAATGTAAGGTTTCCTTTTAGGCCCTGATTCAGCAAAGCAGTTAAGCACTGAAGCGAAAGGGAGTTAACTACAGGTCTGTCGCATCTTTAACATGCACGATTTCAGCTTTACATGATCGGCAAAAACAAAAACAAAAAAAAAGAGAAAAATAACAATTTTAATACTGTACCTGTAGTGCGGGCGATTCTGCCCGCCATTACACTCAATGTAATTTTGACTATACGCGATTTTCACTTTACGCGCTGACTGCAGAACGTAACCCTAGCGTAAGATACTACAGACCTGTACTGTTAGAATACTGTAAAGACCTATAGTTTAAGAACTTAGGTGTATTTTTATCACTTAGTTAGTTACAGGGGTATAAAAACAAAATCAAAATCACAGTCTGCCTGTGTATGGGCCTTCTCTCACTAGGACAGTCTGAGGCCTTGTTCTTAAGCTAAGGCCTTTGGCTAAGCAGCAGGGGCAGCGACAAGCTGGGAAGTGAACGGTCACTTCCTCACATTCCAAATCAGTCACATTGAAATAAGGTGGTATTGGGCTGTTAGGAAGATGATCCTGTCCTGATAATGCCCATCACCACCAGATAAAGAAACAGATCTTAAGATGGTTAAAGAAAACTTAGTTTGATAGCATCCTGTCTGCCAAGAAATCACTTCTCAATGGTTGCGGCTGTGAAACCCTCATTTCTGTATTGTTTTATCTTTATGGCTCCCACTTTTCTATTGTTAATCTGTCTGGTTCTCTAATTGTTTCTGTCTGCTGTATAACTAATTTTGCTAGGTGTAAGTTAATTAGGATAGTGGAATATAATTGGTTAGAGAATTACGGTATGTTACAATAGGTTAGGATTGGTTAGTTAAATTTCAGTAAAATGATTGGTTAAGGTATGCTTGCGGGGGGGAGGGGAAGAGACGGGAATGGGGAACGCGGAACATGGACACAGGCAAGGTTCTGCGGCGTCAGAACTGAGAAGGGGGATATGGGGTATATGCTCTGCGGCATCAGAGCTGGGAAATAAGTCCGACTGGTGTGAAGGGCTTTGGAATATGCTTGCTTGGAAACTAGCCCCGTTAAACATCGCACTGTTTGCACTTCGGACTTCTGGTCTTTTGCTGCTTGCTGTCTGCATGACAAGAACCAGGGAAGTGGAAGGGTTGAGGGAAAGCCCTCTAACAACTATGTGCTTTAAAAGTTTGGCATGTGCCAAAGTAAAGCTGTTCTCTGAGGACCCTCTCACAAGCATAGGAGGCAAGAGGAGTGGGAACAACACTACAGAGATTTCAGGCATCTTTCTGGCCCATGAGACAAAGAGGGGCTGAGGTAACTTGGACAGCCCCCCCAGGGTTATCTAAATTAGGGGTGGCCAACCTGTGGCTCCGGAGCCACATGTGGCTCTTCAGAAGGCAATATGCAGCTCCTTGTATAGGCACCGACTCCGGGGCTGGAGCTACAGGCGCTAACTTTCCAATGGGCCGGGGGGTGCTCACTGCTCAACCCCTGGCTCTGCCACAGGCCCTGTCCCCACT